TCAGAAAAAGCAAAAAACTTTCCTTTCTTACGAATTTTTCAAATTAAAAGTTCACTGTGATTTTTTTTTATTTTAAATTAAACTTTGGATGAAAAAAATTTTTTTGAGCAAAAAACCAAGAAGAAAATACATTTTCAATTTTGGACTAGGGGCGACCCTAGTCATAATCAATTTTGTCACTTTTTTCTTCGAGGGTTTATCCAAATGGATTGAAACTTTGCATAAATATTCTAGTGCGTAAAACAAATACAAATAAAGCATCCTAAAAGTTTTTTGAGCAAAGAACCAAGTAGGAAATACATTTTCAATTATGAACTTGGGACAGGTCTAGTCAAAATCTAGTTTTTCACTTTTTTTCTTCGAAGGTTTATCCAATTACAGTGAAACTTTGTGTGAGTATACTAATATTTATACAAAACAGTTTTAAATATCTAAAGCAAGAAATGTATTCTATATGTCGTCAGACCCAAATTTTATAAATTTGGATCTACATATAAAACCAACGTGACTTAAAATTTTGTCCCAAAAAATTATTTTTATTAATTCAGAAATGTGTGACCTGAGGATTAGAATGCTCAAACAAAGTTTTACTTTATAAAAAAAAAATCTAGTAAAATGTATTTCCTACTTAGTTCTTTGCTCAAAAAAATTTAAGATGTTTTATTTGTATTTGTTTAAGCACTAGAATATTTATGCAAAGTTTCAATCCATTTGGATAAACCCTCGAAGAAAAAAGTGACAAAATTGATTTTGACTAGGGTCGCCCCTAGTCCAAAATTGAAAATGTATTTCCTACTTGGTTCTTTGCTCAAAAAAATTTTAGGATATTTTATTTGTATTTGTTTTAAGCACTAGAATATTTATGCAAAGTTTCAATCCATTTGGATAAACCCTCGAAGAAAAAAGTGACAAAATTGATTTTGACTAGGGTCGCCCCTAGTCCAAAATTCAAAATGTATTTCCTACTTGGTTCTTTGCTCAAAAATATTTTAGGATGTTTTATTTGTATTTGTTTTAAGCACTAGAATATTTATGCAAAGTTTCAATCCATTTGGATAAACCCTCGAAGAAAAAAGTGACAAAATTGATTTTGACTAGGGTCGCCCCTAGTCCAAAATTGAAAATGTATTTCCTACTTGGTTCTTTGCTCAAAAAAATTTTAGGATATTTTATTTGTATTTGTTTTAAGCACTAGAATATTTATGCAAAGTTTCAATCCATTTGGATAATCCCTCGAAGAAAAAAGTGACAAAATTGATTATGACTAGGGTCGCCCCTAGTCCAAAATTCAAAATGTATTTCCTACTTGGTTCTTTGCTCAAAAAAATTTTAGGATGTTTTATTTGTATTTGTTTTAAGCACTAGAATATTTATGCAAAGTTTCAATCCATTTGGATAAACCCTCGAAGAAAAAAGTGACAAAATTGATTTTGACTAGGGTCGCCCCTAGTCCAAAATTGAAAATGTATTTCCTACTGGGTTCTTTGGTCAAAAAATTTTTTTGGATGTTTTATTTGAATTGACATAATTTTGACATAAATCACATACCAATATAACTTTTTGTAATGCATTGCTTAAAAAAATCGAAATCTAAAATTTCGACTACCCCATCTGAATTTTGTTCATACTCTTCACTGTGGAAACCAAAAAACAAATTCTTTATCTTAAAACACTTGACAAAATAGCGACATAATTCAGGATTAATTACTTTTTAATAATATTTTAACATTTACGAGAAAATGTGGTTCAAATAAGTGTGAAGTATGGCCGAGATTTGGACCAAAATCAGCTATACGGGTTCATAGTGTTCCCGAGGGTGACAAAATTCAAACTAAGTGTTTTTGTAGCTGACATAATTATGACATAAATTAGGTATAACTTTTACGTACTTCACGCCCACCCTTCAAACTTATGCTGAGCAAATCTTGGTCTATCCATAAGACTTTTGATGGTACGGTGTGAATACATCCGCATTGGGTTTCTACCCGATACACTAGTTTTTACTTGAAGTTGAAGTTTAAGGCTTCAAGCTATTTCGATAGCCTTACTTGTAACTAAACGTAGCTCCTCATATCTCAATATTCGAGATTCAATGTTGCTACAACATCAGAGCTATGTTTGAATGCACAAAATTCCCTAAAACAACAATGATTGTAAATTCTAATTAGCGAACTCGAATCTGCAGCTTGTGCATCTTAAAATCACCAAACTAAGTATGCAACTCAAATTCTCATGATAAACAGAAATAAAATAAAATTTACATAATTTGAAACAGCATTTCCGATCAAACATTGACCCTTTTGGGAGATAAACAGACAGTTCAAACAGTTCTTGAGCATCTATGGATATTTATTTAAATCTTACAAACATGCAAAGTTATTCTCTTTGTGCCATTCAATCGAGCTATTGATCAATGAACCGTTAATTCGAGCATTGAGCCAACAAAATCTATTATTCTTTTGTTCATAAACTAGCAATGCTCATTTTTTATGTCCTCAACATGACAGACGATAAAAAGAAAATATAATCTGTAAAATCATTAGCATGTTCCCTTCTAATTGTTCATACAACACAGCCAAACCAGTATATATGAAGCATGTTGATGTGATTATAATTTTTCAAGGGGTGACATAAGAACCCCTCTTCTGATTGCTGTCTCTCTATGATACGTGTATCATCCTTGTCACATCAAATTTATTTTAAAATCCTACTTGAAGTTTAATGGATTTTAATTCGTTTTTTATTCGTTCGATGATGGTAAAGTGCAATGATTTTAATCGCTGTGAAATGTTACAATGGGATGAACGGGATTTGACTGTAAATGATGTTTATCAATTGCTGTACCTTTTCAGAATTTTTAATTCCACTGTCTCACAGCTTTGGGCAGTAAACAAAAGAAATGAGAAATGAATATTTGAATAAACATCATTGATGAATAACTCCCATCCATATATATCCTGTAATTTTTTGACAGTAACACTTTCACTTCAATCAGAACTTATATCCTTTTTTTTTCACTTAACAATTTCGAGATTAGGCAAAAAAGGAAAGAGCAACAAATGCTAATGAGATAAGTGTTCGCGCACGGCGTTGCATTCGTGTAAATGGTTAGTGCGAAACAGCACAAGTGAGTGGAGCATAAAAGATTATCAAAAATAAGTATTGTACACACGTGAAGGAACTTCTTTTATCTTTTATTCATTTTTATTACAAAATGCTCTCCGTCAAATTGCAATATTTGTCGAGATATGAAACAATAAAAAGTTATATAAGTGCAGAGTCGTTGTGATAAATAGACGAAGAATAGCATCAATCATGGTGAAAAGGAGAACTCAAGGATTCACTAATGGAAATTTTTTCTTTCTTTTACCTTTTGTTTTCTTATTTTATTCTGATTTGGCTTGATTGGGGTGTGCCGCTCTTATTAAAAGCTACCTTACAGATTGTTTACCTAGATTCTTTTTGATCTGTTATGGATGGTTTCTGGCTTACAAATGAGATCTGGTTCCAAAGTATTGTACAAATCTAGAACCAATCTTCATTAGAGATTGCAATATAGTTTGTCGAGATTTCAGTCTATGCGTGATGTTTCAAGGATTAAACTTGGATTAAACAGACAGTTTGATTTGAATGTGACCATATGTTAAGGCTATACTTTCTGTTTCAAGAATTCAAAGTTTAGATGCAATACTTAAGGAATTTGGTTGAAACTTTAAATTTCTCTAAACATATTTTAACCAGATCCATATCACATCCTTAACTATAATAACTAAGCATCCAACCCCTTTAAAGATTCGCTTCTTTTTATCTTTCTTTGAACCTTTACAATACTTCTTCCAATCCTTCTGATAAATTTTCATTTTTTTATTCTTTAACCCCCAAAGTCACGTTTTCTTTTATATTCAGCTAAAAGGATTTATTCCTTACAACAACAGATGAAGTAAAAAAAATCAAGAAAAAGAAAAGTACGAATAAAAGTGAGTTAGGAATAGAAGGAAACTTATGAAGACATAAACGCATGAAAGAGAATATTGACTTATTTTGGGGTATAAAGTTGATCCTCTGAACGACAACCTATTTAATATCACATGTAATGTCCAATTTTTGTTTTATCGAACTCTCGACTGTCATTAAGAAACTATAATATAATAGACCTTAAACAAAAAGGAAAGCTTTAATGCTGGCTTAAGCTTCAATTATCCCAAAAAGTTGAACTAGCCGACATTTTCTAATGTAAATTTCAAAGTCAAAATTCGAAGTCAATCGTCCAACAAAATTCAGATGCAAGTAAGCAATCCTCAAACTATTAACCGACAAAGTGATCACATCTTTCTATCCCTAATACAATCCAGAAAGTAGCACACAAAAAAATGTAAATTTTCAACCATTCTTGTACTGAAATTGAAATACTGTTATTGTCGTTGTCTTGCCGAAAGTAAGCATGCATGCAGGCCAATAAAATTCAAGAAAATACAATCCTTATGCTTCACCGTTGGCACAAAATGATAAGAGCTCTAACAATAAAAATAAAAAAGCAGACTCGAGAGAAATAATTTCCAAAAAAAAAAATGGTGGAACGACAAGAAACAATAAAATTGAATTTAAGATTTGCTTTTTTTTTGTTACTGGCTGCAATGAAGAGGAAAGCATTTCTCTTTCTTTTTTGCGATCATGCTTAAAAGACAATATTGAATTAAATATTAATTTTTATTATAAATTGTAGCTCCTATACCTGAAAAGTGAGATCTTCAATTCTAACAATACAATTTCCTCGTTTTTGCGAATGATAAGCATAAGAATGGAGGAGAAAAGAAAAAACCATTAAGAAGCAATTTGGAAATAAAATAAAATAAAAAAACGCTATAAAATAAATAACGTGTAAATGCAAGCTGAAAATATATGTTCGCATATATGAGAGACAATGGATATAAAACAATTCCATTTTTCCTCTTTATCTGTAAAAGAATGTGATTATTTGGATGTTGAGGAATACAAAAATACTTTTTAATATATTGAAAAAAATTTATTTCAAGTTATTTAAAATAAAATTCATTAATCTTTTAAAGGGAAGATGGTTTACAAGCTAATCATATTATTATTGAAGTTCCTGCAAATAGTCATGTTGATTCTCAGCAGTCCAAATATCTGTAAAGAAAGAAAGTTTCTATTAGTTTGACTTGCTTTAAATTAATTGTTTTTGATTTTATTGGTGATTTATCAGACAGCCAAGAGTGAATTAAATCATGGTTAATTCATACAAATATTTTTGCGAAACCAAGGTCTAATATCATCATTAAAGATAAATGTTTCTGGATAGAATTTTCGGATTTGAATGATTGATATATTTGTCATGTTCAAGCTTTAAAACAGCAAAATTAAATGATAATTTCATTTAAATTCGGTTCAGTTCAAGTTCGTTTCAATATAGTTCATTTTTGAATATTTAAGATCCGTTAAAATTCAAATTTTCAAAAACCGTTAAGATTCTTAAAATTCTATACAGAAAAACAATTAAATTAATCTTTTTTTGCAATTAGTAATACTTACTCATCGTGATTTGATGTCGATTCTCAACAGAACAATCTACCTGTAGATTAAGAAAATATTCAATTAATTTACAACTTCAAAAAAAAATTAATCAATTCAAATGATGAATCAAAATAAGTCAGACAGCCAAGAGTGAGTAAAATCATGGAAATATCATCCAAATATTTTTGCGAAACCATGGTCTAAAATCATCATCGATAATTTAATCTACTTTAATTCATTTCAGTTTATTTGAATTTTTGAAAACCGTTAAAATTTTAAATTTGATAGAGCCGTTAAATAGGTTAAGAACTTACTCGTCATCAGTCGATTCCTTTGCCTTTTTCTTCTTCTTCTTCTTCTTTTCTGATTGTGGCTCGTCGACTGTTGTGTCAATTAAAGATTCATCGACTGTCATTGATTCTTCTGCATTTCCCTTATTTTTTTTCTTTTTCTTTTTTGGCACTTCCGTTTCGTCCTGAACTTCAATTTGTGATGTTTCAGCATCCTCAGATTTATTCTTGTTCTTCTTTTTCTTTTTCTTTGCAGGTTCTGTTGATGTTTCGCCTGTTTCTTCTACTTCCTCTGATTTAATTTCCTCGATTAATGGCTTATCGGACTCCAACTTTCGTTTCTTGCTCATAACAATTGGTATTTGATTATCCTCTTCAACTGGATATAATTTGATTTCACTCTTTGCCTGATACTTTTCAAACTTTGCTTTAACTTTTCCACTTCCAGTTAATTTTCTCATATTTCCTTCTTCGAGAATTCTAAGACGAGTTTCGAGTCGTGCACGATGTTCTGTGCCCATATCGAATGTAGATTCTTCACCAAAGGCATCAACACGAGTTGCCAATGATGCTTTTGCGGCAAGTGATCGAGAGATTTTTCCTTTATTCTTTGTACTTGCTTGACCAACTAATGCTGAATGGTAGATAAGACCGTACTTTGGTGTATCTTTCTTAGTCTTTAACGCTCTGAATAAAGCCTTTTCAGCACCCAAAATTTGTACTGTTGATGCTGGATGTTTAGCTAAATTCACTAATGATCCAGCATGAGCAATAAGACGTGCACCGACTGTATCACCAACCAAAACTGTTAAATTTGGAGCAATTGCCATCATTCTTGTTCTCAAATAATCGTATAAATGTGTACGATATTCGTGAATTGCGAGAATTTCGTCACACAACTGACGAATGTTAATGATATCTTCTTCAGAAATTTCAGTACCTTTTTAAAGAAAATAAATAAGTTACGTTTGGTACTTAATAAAGTTCAAATTGTCAATTATTTACCCATTGAAACTTCTGCAGCTTCCTTGACCTTTTCTTCAATATCTGTCGGCAAAATGTCAGATAAATCAATTTCGTGGAAATTTTCTCGCATTCCAACAAGTTTGATTGTCTTAATAAATGCAACATTATCGGTAAGAATCTTTCCCAATTCTGGAAAATGCCATCCGTACCTAAATAATGATATATGGTTTGATAATACTTTAAAATTGTGTATAATTTTCTGAATTCAAAAAACAGGTAGGCTCACTCATCAGATCAACATAAAGATTCACTTAGTGTTCAAAATGAACCTATAATATGTTCTCGATCATCACTTGAAAAAGAATTATGGATATTAAAACTTACCATTCTCTAGCTCTCATCATGTAATTATTCAATTCTTTATCCAAATCATCCAACAAGCATTGTGCCTGAACAATCATTGTATCAATTTTATCAGGACTGAATTTAAGCTTATAACGACTCAAGCTATGTGCTAAACCGAGTGTCATTGCTGTAAGTTCCTTTTTTGGTAATCCAGCCAATAAACTTTCTGATTGTGAACGAATACATCTCATCAATTCTTGTACTCCAGTATTTGAGACACATTGTAATGACAATTTCTCTTTTATAGCACTTCCAAGCTTAGCATCAGCAACCAACAATTGATTCTGAACATCTTCATCTGTTAATTTTTTTAATGTCTTTTTCAAAGTTTTAGACAATTTTCCTTCGACAGCTGCTGTGGCTGCACTTAAAGCTTCTGTTGTGTCCTTAAACTTCTCAAAATGCTTCAATTTCAATCTGAAAGTGGTTAAATTAATAATAATAAGTAACGAGTAAAGAGGTGGTCACTCGTGACCGATTAAAGCGCATTTTCCCTTGAGTTTAAGGAACCTGTTAACAGAAAAACAGCTGTTTTTAGACAAAATATCTTTCTCCAAGACAGATCTGTTTTCTCTTTTTTCATTTTTACATATAATTTATTTGTTTTTATGTATTCATATATTTTTTCCTGAATTTAATATTTTTGGGATGTTTAATAGGTTTGAAAAAATTATCAAATGCAATCAAAATTTTAATTTTGTTGAACCTTTTGTAACATTTACTAACGTTCAAAAATATAATCAACAATTTTACAAGATTTATTTTATGTAAAAAGATTTTGATTATTTCAAATAAAATATTACGGCCTGTTTCACTAAGGTGGATTATCCTCATTTTAGGATTATCTATTTCTTCGATGCACGGAAAATCCAAATAATTTTTTTCTGATGTAGAATTAATTGATTAATAATAATCAGAACAGTTTGAGAAAAAAAATCTTTTTATTGTATAGTGAATATAGCGAAAAAATAATTTTAGTGTATGGATTATCCTAGGATAATCCTGAAATTATCCGAATTTCCAATCTTCGGGGGAACCAGTTTTAACATTTTGGATCTTCTTTAAATCCATTTTTTTTACTCATTATGCAGTTTTACGTAATAAAAAATTTCATGGATTATCCTCGGGTTGAAAAGTTGGATAATCCGATCCGAGGATGTATTTTGAATTCTGAAAAAACAGCTGTTTTTAAAAATCAAAAACAGCTGTTTTTAAAAATCAAAAACCGAAAATAGCTGTTTTTAAAAATCTTAAACCGAAAATAGCTGTTTTTAAAAATCAAAAACCGAAAATAGCTGTTTTTAAAAATCAAAAACCGAAAATAGCTGTTTTTAAAAAATCAAAAACCGAAAACAGCTGTTTTTAAAAATCAAAAACCGAAAATAGCTGTTTTTAAAAATCAAAAACCGAAAATAGCTGTTTTTAAAAATCAAAAACCGAAAATAGCTGTTTTTAAAAATCAAAAACCGAAAACAGCTGTTTTTAAAAATCAAAAACCGAAAATAGCTGTTTTTAAAAATCAAAAACCGAAAACAGCTGTTTTTAAAAATCAAAAACCGAAAACAGCTGTTTTTAAAAAATCAAAAACCGAAAACAGCTGTTTTTAAAAATCAATAACCGAAAACAGCTGTTTTTAAAAATCAAAAAACGACAATAGCTGTTTTTAAAAATCAAAAACGGATGTTTTCCACAAGACCCTAATTTTACCGAAATCTTGGACGTCATAAGTAAACGACTCCTCTGAAAATGCGCTTTAAACGTGCTCAAGTAAGAATTGAAATTGTTAATCAACTCAAAATCGAAATTGGAAGCTATTTTAATCTCAATTCCGAGTAAAGCGTATTGATTAGGATGTTTTCTACGACCTCATTAAAATTCCTTAACTATTTATGAAGCTAATGAATGGAACTTGGTCAAATTAAGAGAATTTTAAATGTTTAACTTACATTTTATTAGCCCTTTCTGGAGTATCGAATTCTAGATATAAATTATCAACTTCCTTGATCTTCTTTTCATCCAGAAGCTGTTAAAAACAGGTAAAATTAATTAAGTTATATTCTTTTAGGTTAAAGTGTACAGCATTTTTTAAAATTATTGAAAAAAGTCTTATTTACCTTGAAAATCGCATAACCAGCGGGTGTTTCGTATAACACAAACATTATTTGACAATATTAAACTAGTTCCACCTTTCAACAACTAATAATTCACGCTATAATTAATAAAATTCAATAAACGATGTGTTTTGGTTTTCACGTGCGGAAACTATGTTGAATAATCCAAAGTAAATCATGTAAAACGAAACAGAAAAGGTCCAATGAAAAAATACTTTTTGAAAAAACGTTAATTGTGAATGCACCAGAATTTTTGTTTACATTTTTAAAAAAGTTTTAAATCATTTAAATTGTGTTGTAATTCATTAATTAAACAGAAAAATGGAAGACATACAGTCAGTAAACACAGAAAATCATCAAATTGGTAAGTACTTACTCAATTTCTAGTCATTACGTATGGATTTCATAAAAGTTATTCAAATTTAAAGGAACAATTGCAAAGAAACAACAGATTAACGTCCAAAAGACTAAGATTCCGTTAAAGGATTCAATTAATAATAATAAAATTAAGGATAATGAAAAGCAGACATTAAAGAAGAAGATTACTGGATTCGAAAAGCATAACATCGATGAGACTGAAGAAATTGAATGCTTTGAACCAGCTAAAAATGGAATGTGTCACTGCAATGGACCTGACCGAAAGAGTAAGTCGCTATACGCTATGAATATTGAATAATTTTACAATACCAAATGATTTTAGACATTGGGTCTAGCTTTTATGACTTGACACCATCACCAGAATTTTTAAACTTTATGGATGTCACATCAAATCCTTCAAAGTGGCACCATTTAATGATGAATGATCCAAATTATATTGCACTATTCAATGAGCAAGATCCAATGGAGGAACTGAACGAGCCAACAGAATTGATTCCAAGACCAAAAAGTCCAGCAGCTAATTTTGAAGAATATGAATTGGACATAACGCCATTAGACACAACACCATTACCAACAGAGGACATAGACATTCCATTACCCGAAGAACAACAGAATCCAGTAAATATCGAAGATTAATCAACAGAAATGGAATTAAATAAATTAGACATTAAGTTGAAACATACGAAATTTCATTTTATTTTTATATCTTGTATTTATTAATATCACAATGTATTATAATTTTTTTTTCTTGTTTTATATTGTTTTTTCAGTAAGAAAAAGTAATTCTAAGGAATTTTTGATATTTCAATGAGAAAAGAAGAAGGTTGATAGATGCTAAAAGGAAAGTGTTTGATGTAGGAAGTTAGATAAGAAAATTTGGGAAATTCGTTATTATTTTGTTTTACGTAGATCTAAGTTTTTTGTTATCTATTGATATTTTGAGGAAAATTCAAAATGCTTAATTAAACTGCTTTTTGGTTGTTTTGTCATCATTCTTATAAAAAAAACGCTTATACACATCACTACTTATGCACACTGGTTGTCTCAAAATCCTTCAAAAACTTTTTAATTTGTTAAATAGTTTCACATTAAATTCGCTACTGAAAAAATTTCTATTCATTTAATTTTGTCATAAATTGGAGATATCTTTTAAATATGGACATGACCCTTTTTCATATTCGATTAAAAGTTTTGATATAAACTCAAAAATCATCTTTAAAATTCGATTTCATAGCACCCAATTTCAATTTAAAAACGTTTCTCATTAATTTTGTTCACAATTTGCTTCATCAATAAAATCTCCTCAAATGTAGAAATAAATAATGATATATTTTTTTTTTGTTTTGTTTGTATAGTAGACAAAGTTTAGAACTCAATACAATAAACAAGGAACAATGTTATTTGTCAACTTAGAATAAAATATTGCATAGAATAAAAAACGACTTTTAGTTTGTATCAGAATTATTATGGTTATTTTCTCCATAAACCTGCAAATAAAGAGTAATATTCCATTAGTTCCACTCAATATAAGTTCAATTACTATTGACTCACTTGAGATTGTGACGAACTATCACTTTCAATAAGCTCAGACAGGAAATTTTTATTTTGAAGATAGTCAAGTAATCTTCTTGGTAATGGCAAGGTTTCGATTAAATCCTTCCGCTGCACAGCTTTTAATATTACGAATCTACAAACATAAGAACAATCAATAAATCTACAAATCTAATCAATCAAAATAATTATGACATTACCTGCACATGTGTTGGAGACTCTGGACATGCCTAAATCTCGACACTGGATTTAACAATTGTACTCGCATTGGCCCATGTTCAGGTCGACGATGTAAAAAGAAAAGATATCGGCCACTCCTTGAGTGCTCAACCGCATTCTCGATAAATTCCTTTATAGTTCGTGACTTGTAAGAGCATTTGATTTGAGCACACGATCCAAATGAAAATGTTCCCTGCTCTTGTTCTATACGAACGTGTCGAATACAGCCATTGAGTTTTACGGTTAATGAAAATATGTAATTTAAATCGGAACTATCACGCACTATAAAGCTGCCATCTGAAATGTTCTCATTTCATTTAATTTTAGATTATAAATGAATCAATATATTTTGTATTCTTACCAGGCTCGTTTGAAAGAATCTTTTCAGCTGCTTCTGACGTTAATGGACCCCAATACCAACCACACTGGAATTAATAAATTTAAATTAAAGAATTTGCAACCGATTTGTCGTGTGACATTAACGCAACAGTTGTGTGACAGAAAATAAAGAGCGACACAATAAAAACTCATTAATTTTATGTCACACCACAGTTGCTCACGCGTCACAGACACACAAATTACTCACCTCACGAACTTTCTCGATATTTGCTGCAAAATCCAAAGTTTCGCTGTTTTTCTTATCAGCATTTTGTGAGTCAGCAGAAGGTTTTATATCTGAAATTTAAATAAATGACTCTAATTAATCAAAAGAACAGATAAAGCAGCTACAATTAATCACCTTTTCCTGGCAACGGCGGTAAAGCTCGAGTAGATAAATTGACTTTCTTTTCTTCGTCTTGTATGTGCGTTAAGTTAACATTTCTCGACGGAGACGTTTGATGGGATTTTCTAAATCTAAAAATACTACAAAACTTTTGCTTTAAATTTAAACTTATCGAAAATTGTGACTTCTTTGTGGCCGTTGTTGGACTTGCATATTTGCTATTACTACTATTATCGCCTTTAATCTTAATGCCATCAGAATTTTTTCTTAATATTTTGGAACCTGAATCAATGTTTGTGTAATTATTAATATTATTATTATTATTACTGCTATTTGATGATTGTAAGACTTTTGCTTTGATTCTATCGCCAGATATTTTACGTCCACTCTCATGATTCACTGTAAATGAGTGTGACGTCACGACACTTGAGCTCGTATTTGATAATTTCCTTGAACAATTATCATTTCCAGCCTCTGAGCGCTTCTTTCTCTTACTACGCTTATTTTTACTTCTATGAAATTTATGACACTTTGATGAATTTCCACAGAGTAGATTATTATCAGACATTGCACGATGCTGATTCCTATATGCTTGATGTTGTGCATCTCTATCAATCTGATTTGATTCAATAACATCAATGGGTAATGTATAAATATCAGAGTCTAATGGAACATTATAAAAATCACTTATTTCAATACTATGGCCAAGTTGATCATGCGACATTGCTTGCGTTATAAATATTGAGTCATCTGCTTTATTAGTTGGAACACTTAATGAATTATGTGAGCTTGATAGTCGACTGTTTAAGGAAGTTTTAGAGTTTGGATGTGACGAATGTGAATTACAGACATTTGATGCGCCTGTATGATGACAAAAGCTGTAGAAAATTGACGACGTTGTAGTTGTTGGCGTTAGATTTGTATTATGAAATTTACTTCGAAGGAACTTGTCGAATTTTTTCTGGAAGCTGTTGCTTTGAAACTTATTATTATTGCTACTACTACAATTATTATTATTATTATTCTTATTATATGCATTATTATTATTATTATTGGTGTCACCATGTATTGCCGTCGAATGACCTTTGGATCGGTACTTTTCATAAAACAGCTCATCCGTATTGCAATAAAGTTGTGATCTTACATCAACTTTCTTCTTTTCCAATGATCTTACAATTCGTTTTGTGCACAATATCGTATCCTTATTATCCTTATAAATCACATCATATTCGGCATTTGGCTCATCATATATATCCTCATCGGAATCAACGATATTTATATTAGAATTGCTATTCTTATTGTTTGTTAAATACGATGGTTTATGATAGTTGTTTAAGAAGGAATCACTTCCATATATGCTATAGCTGTTTGATACAAATGTTCTAGATTTTAAAAAATCACTTTCCATTTCTCTCTTATGCTGTTGTTGCAACTGCTGTTTCTTTAATTTTGCGGCTGCATGTCGCTCACAGTAATAAACCTCTTTTGTGGCTAAGTTATGAAACGTATTGATGGCTTTTCGTATTATATTTTGCGTTAATCTCGATGCATAGCTTTGAATGTGAGTTGTTCTTATGACCGTGCTTGGTGTTGTCGTACTACTGCTGCTACTCGTAAAGTTTGGTGGAAATTTTGAATTTGGATAATTGTCCTGAAATTCTAGTGGCGGTTCATATATAATTGAATTAGATATCTTCTTAATGGTGTGAAAATTCTCAGCACTCATTCCACTGTCCGAATCAAATTGAGAAAATTCCTCAAACTCGTCGGAATTAAAATCTGCATGCTAAAAAGATGTAAAAAGAGCAAATGTGAGTGTATGAAAATGAAGTCAGCACAAAGAAGAAGATGAATGTGAGTAAACAAAGTTATGTGAATCATCGTAAGCTCTTATTTGATGTGTATAGAAGAGATAATTAAGTGTATTGATGTAATAATAAATGTCATATAATTTATACTCTACATACTTCATTTTCTCGGGTGTGTGATGTAAATCCAGAGTCATCCGATAATGAAATTGCATTTAGCTCGAAGCTATTGTTGCTAATTAATGGAATTACGCCAGATGAGGATAAATTAAAATTCGATTCATTTTGCTCCATTCCTTTTGAAATGAAATTTTTCGATTTTCAGCCTTTTCCTCACCATAAACACATCTTTCTATTCTTTATTTGATCACAATAAGGATTAATTGATACAATACATTGAGATTTCCTCAGTCAAAACACTATTTTTAAATTATTTTAAGCTTTTTCTATTTTTTTTTTTTCAAGAGATTTTCGTATTTAAAACTTCCACGATCTGTCAAGTGTTTCATATTTTACGCAGTTGCCTGTTCTTCCTTTAATAGTCATTCTTAATACCCAGAATAATTAAATTAAGTTGGCTTATCACGATAGATTTCAAGATTTGTTGATATAGCTTTTCGTTATGTTAATTAAATCGATTTAAATGTTTTAGCATAGAAGTTCAAGAAATGTATTCAATGTTGCTCCAATTCAAATTTTAAATGACAGTTTTCAATTTTGCAGTCAAATTGTGCTCAAAGTTTATTTACATCGACGGTAATTACTTCAAGACCTATTTTAATTATCCTTTTAACTGCAAATTCCTCCAAAATGGAGGCTTATTTCGCTTATATTATTTTAGTAGCATCACTAATTTATGTACTAGTTACAAAGTAAGTTGAATAAGGTCGTGAAAAGTGTTTAATTAAGGTAAAACACTTAAAACTGTAAAATTCATCACAAATCTATTTTTAGAATTATTCCAAAAATTATTGGATATTTACTGATGAAACTTACAAACATCAAGATTAATTTTGGCAGTATATCATTTTCGAAAGCACGTAACATTCAAATTATCTATAAAGGTTTTGAAGTACAGGTCGAGGAAATAGCATTGAAAAGTAATTTTCTGAACTCAGAGATTTCTAATCCTATACAAATATTTATACGGGATGTTCGGATCAATAAGAACATTGAATTTACTGACGAGAGCTCTAGTAAGGATGTCAAAAAGAATCAAAAGATACATGAACCGATTAAACAAATTCCATCAATTATCGTGACCTTAGTTCAAGTAAGATCAAACGAATTACTAATTATGGGTGTGCTTATTAATGTTGAATAACATTATTTACAGTTCTGTGGATTCAACGTATCAAATATATCGTTAATATTTCACAATGAAGACGGCTGGTGGCTACATGCGTCAACAGAGAAAATTGACTTGGATGGATGTTTCGTACACAGAACCCATAGTTTAATGTTTGCCGTTAATCTCAAGGAAGTGCATGTAAGTCGCATTAGAAAATGTCATAATGCCGAAAATGCATAAATTCTTGTTTTACTGCATTGCAGATGAAAATGTTGAAGCACAAGCACTCTTCAAAAACGGTTCAGCCTTGTTTAGCTGAATTATCGTTTGGAATCAATGTCGATGGAACATTTGACTCGAGCAAGAACCTGTCGTTTGATGTGAGTGTTCCTTTCATATTTAACGTATTTTTGAGATTTGAAATATTTTATTTTCGTTCAGAAAGACAAAGTTCAGTTCAGTTCAGTTCAGTTTATTTGAATCTCAAAAATACGTTAAATTTCAAATTCCTATATATCACACCTCTATGCTACTTATTAATCAACTGTGAATGCTTCTAATGTCATGTTTATTTATTTATCACATTAGAAACTACAATTATCACTTGACGCGCCAACATTGAAGCTTTTTAGTGGATTTTATGAGTTTGTGCAAGACTGGAAAATGAAGAAAGCAAAGTTTTCGCAACATCAATTAGTCAAGAATGTGCCGGCTGAAGCTCCTGTCGAGTCTGAATTGTACGAGACGATAAAGCGGTTTGCTCCACTCATACCAAAAAACTTAACGGTTGATATTCAGCATACGTCGCTCACAATATTACGTGAGATTGAATACATGAGTAGTTATGAATATCGAGCGTCCATAAAAGAAATAACTCTTAATTGGAAATTAAATTTCGCACAAGATATTTTTAAAATATCATCAACTTACATAAACTGGACGTTAAACGAATTAGTAATAAGTACAATGAATGATGATGGAAAAGTAACTTTGGACCAGCACACAATTAACTTTCAACTTAACAAGGAAGTTGTTACGCTATACACAAAGTTGAAATCATTTAAATTGACATACAATCATTGCAACATAATCGATTGGATAACGAAAAATATAACGAATCCTGAGAAAGATAAATATAAGATTTTAGTTCCACCTAAAGTTAAGCCTGCAAAAGAAAGTAAATTTTCAATAAAAGATGTTGAGAAATTGATTGGAAAATGTTCATTTAAGAACACTGCTGAGTTGTGGGATGTGTCTACAATATGTAAATTATCAAACAATCAAGTATCAAGCATAAATCTAGCCCACACTAATTTGTCACTTAAACAGTCGGATGATCAGAAACGTAGTTGGAGTGTTGAATTAATAATTGAGTCTTTATGCTTCTATCTTGATTCAGATTTGAAGAATATTAGTGGAAGTAACTTGAAAAAGACTCATGTTCGTGGCAGTGCATTTTATATAGGATTTTTATTAAGCACATTTTCCGATTATGGACCATGCAAGAAGATTGAGCTAACAGCACACACAATTCGCACTGAATACAGTAAAGCACTATCAGCATTTTTAATGGAAGCTGTAAAATGTATAAAACAATATACAGCATTAAAAAGTAAAGAAGCTATATGCAGTAATCATAATCAATTACCCAAAAAACAGAGCATGAATTTCAAGCAGATTTTTGGAAATACTTTCATTACCAATATTAAAGTCACAGATGTAACAACGTTCTTTATTAATCAATATGATATGTGTACGTTCCTTAATCTACCTGAAACTACAATCAATTTCCAGCCTGATAAGAAAATTCTTGAGTTAAGTCGATTACAAATTTCATTTGTCGATTTCTCAAAAAATACTTCAATTAATAATTTATCTGAACATGCCAAAATCTTTATCTCAACGAAAATGGTTCGATTTGAGCACTCAATTGAGGAAAATATTATCTTTATTTATTTTGTCCATAATATTGAGGCTTCATGGAATCCAAATTGTCACATGCATTTGTTCACATTAAAGGAAGAGATTCAAGAGCTCAAGAACAATTTAACTACAGCTTTAGATATTCAAAAAACTACTCCAGTAGCTCCAAAGAAATTAAATCTACCGAAAATCGAGTTATTCATCAAAGAAGACTTTACATTCCAAGTAAAGATGTCAACAAGGCATTCAATGAGTGGCCAAATTGCTAATATTTATTTAACGACCAAAAAAGGAACTCAATTCTCATTTAAGAATGTCCAAATTGCTATAGATTCAATTAAAATGTTTGAATTTGATGACATTCTAGTGACTGCCTTAGACGAACTTAAAGTCTTGACTGAGGAACGTAAGAATTATGAGCATTTTAAGTTACCAAGTAATAAAGTATGGATGATAAAAATTGGAGTCTTTAAAGGAATCTTTCCATACGATCATGACTTCTCTAGTGCTATAAAGGATGAATTTGTAAGCATTTATAAATGGCTCAAAGATTTACATAAATATAAAAAGTCTGCCTTTACTGAACATTCTCCACTTCCGCGTGATTTAGTTATTCAAATTAATGAATTTTTGCTAGAAATGAGCGATGATCCATTTGAGGTGAAGTTACGTGATAATTATGTGCTCTTGCTGGATGAATATACAGAAAGTTTAAAGCGCAAAAAGACTCTCGACCAAAAAATTAATGAATTAAGATCACAGAGATTATTGCTCCCATCTGGTTATGTAGAGGAGCTTAATGCTAAATTAATTACTAAGAATTCAGAGATTTATATCGATCGTTCGAAAAAAATGTACGAGACTCCACCACGAACTCGACTATTCGCATGGATTATGACTCGTCTAGAGCTTTTCTTTATGGCTGATCCATCAATTCATGGCTATGATAATGTTACACAAAATATGCAGAATATTGATGAAGAATCACCTTGGCCTGAAGAACACATTGAATTTGTAACTTTATGGTGTCGAGCTATCAATTGGGCTTGTCAGGACTGGCAATTTTTATTACGCGATTACCCCCAGCCGATGTTTCATGTTACAAATGCACACATGTTTGGTCTTCTTTGCGGTGCCGAACAATTAGCCCCAAAAAGAGCGCGACGTGATGTAATTGTGGAAATTGGTGAGCCATTTGAAAATTATACAATCCAAAGAGGAATGACTTCTCTTAAATTTTACCATGATTTCGACTGGGAACTTGACTATTTGTGCTACGCATTTGGACCATGTTGGGAGCCAGTTATAGCTCAATGTAATTTAAGTATTGAAAAGATTATAGCACCGTCAAAGGATCCAAGTATGCCGTTACCATTTTGGGATAAAATGAGGCTCTTATTTCATGGAAGTTTGACAGTTATCGCTAAACAATACACAATTCTACTTCATGCCTCATTAGATCCTTACAATACGACAGAAGAGATGGAATTGACATGGCATAATTGTGGAATTGTATGGACTAATGCGAAATTCATGTTTAAAGGAGATCTTCAAATTTGGGTACGAACTGCATCACGTTATGATGATTGTCGATTAATTCACATGCCAAGTTTGAAATTAACATTCAAACTTAATTGGATATGCAATGGAAATCCAAATGATCATCATGCAGTCGTTCCTTGTGCACCAGATAAACTTCCTGAATATTCAAGTAATCAAGTTCATGACTCTTATAGAGCATTTCGCTCACAAAACGTAAACATATCTATTACCTTTGAGACCAAATACAGTCAAAATGGAGAATTACCAAAATTAGATTTATATGGAAGTACTTTGAGGTGGTTTGAAAGCCTAAAATTGATTCTATCGGGTGTCACTAGACCAACAAGACGTGGACCAGTTTTTAATAATGTTCGTCCACCAAAGAAGCCTTTAAGTAGACATTACAAGAAAGCACATCTTTCATTAAGCTTTCATTCTTTCCAAGTTAGCTACTGGATGTCGCATGCTTTACATCGTGGATTTCAATTAAATGGTGGACGAGTTTCATATTCTAGTGAGCATACATTAGCATTAAATCCTATTGATGATGGACTAATTCATAGACCAAGAGCTGAATGGTCAATACTTTATATGAATTGTGAACTTAATGATGCTGAAATCTGGCTAAGATCAGTTGAGAATAATAGTGAAAAGAATGATTCAAGTTCTGAAAGTATATCCAATATGTCACGTGATATTTGTAGAGATTACTTCCTTAGTGTAGCTAAAGTCTCGTATGGAAGGGAAGCAAAAGCAATGATGAATCTTGATGATAAGAGACAAAAAGAGACTCCAACACATAAGCTTGTCGTGTACGATTTAAAAGGTGCGTGGACAAAAAATAACCGTGACATTGCATTCGGCTTATTTGATTCATTTTGGAAGTCACAAAAATTAAAGGCAAATTTGTCAACGGAAGCTCTTAAAGGAATTATTAAAGACATTAATAAATCACAATCGTCAGAAACGACAGCCGCATCTAAAAATACATTGACACGAAATAAGCCACAACAACAGACATCTCATTCAATTTCAATGCTGCAAAAACTCGTGTCTGAAACTGATCATAAGTTTGTGGTTTTTAGTGATGACTTGTCAACAGAACAATCTACTGAACAGCAATTAAAGGGACTTAAGGCATGTCAAGATAATGACGTGATGCATCATAATTGGTTTATTTCCTTGGTCAATTCGCAAGTATTGCTGAAAGGCTGTGAAACATCTGGCTATGTAATTTTAAGTGCTGCAAAGGCTGAAATTTTACAACGCGTTCATCGTCCCGTTTGGCGTGATAGTGCCGTTGTGTCTAAAACAACTTGGGTTGGATCACTTGAGTGCATGCAATATTATGCGACTGTTAATGATGAAGACACGACAGAAATGACGAAAATTATGTGGCTAACACTTGATAATATTATTCAAGAGAATGAGAAAGCAGCATCAGACATGCCACATAATTTAGCTAATTTAGCTAGTGGACAAAGTGTTGGTGGTGTTGTATCTGTTGGCAGTTCCAATGATAGATCAGAATCAGGCAGTAAAGTAACAACACCAAATCAACTTCAGAGAATTGTTTCACGTTGTAAATGTGAATTTTTCTATGTTAGTTATGGCGAAACAACAGTCGATAACATGACTGAAGTTCCGGCATTACCACCGCCTGAAGAAACTTTAAGTCCATGGGAGAAACAAAACGAACCAATTGATTCATTTACATTAATGCATCACGATTTGAATGTGCAAACATCATCGACACAATATTCCATGATCCTCGATATAATTAATAATTTGTTGCTGTATGTGGATCCAAGTAGACGTGAACGACATGAAAATTTAATGAAGAAACGTTTTGAACTCAAATTTCATAGTCTTGAAGATCAAAAGCGCCCAATTCAACATCTTCAGACAGAAATTCTCAGTTTAATGTCACATTTAAGACTCTTAGAGAAGGACATACATTTTCTAGCAAAGGCACGAGTCGATGGTGAAGACACGGAGGAATTGAGAAATGAATATAATGAAGTGCAAAGGCAAATAAAAGATTGTAAAGAAGAACTTTCAAAGAAGAGTGACGAACTAGAAATATTACTAAGTTGCTATAAAGAAAGTCAGTTGAATACATCACGTACAACAGTCATTAGTAAAGATAAACCAATTTCAATCGTACGATGCAATGAGATATGCTTTAAACATGCTCAGTGGCGTTTGACGGAGGATGATGGACAAATTGGAATAGCTGATCTAATTTTGAGTAATTTCCTCTACACCAAAAATTCAAAAAGTGATGAATCCATTGAACATTTACTTGAACTTGGCTACATTAGAATAAACAATTTAATTCCAACGGATTCAAACAAGGTTATATTGTGTCCAACTGAAATTCAACGTGATATGCCCATTGATCATAAGCGCGTACTACGTGTATTTTGTCGAGAGAAACCTCCCGTTGGAGGTATATCAGTCAAAGAGCACTTTGAAGTCAATGTTGTTCCAATAACAATTGCAATTAGTAAGAAATTTTATACTACAATGCTTAAGTTCTGCTTTCCTGATCGTGACACGACTGCTTATGTTGAGGAAATTGATGGAAAGCCTTCAAAGAAGTCCAAATCAAAGAAACATGAAAAGAAGGATTCAAGCTTTTATGTCAAAATTGAGAAAGACGATGCTGAGATTGTAAGTTATTTTGAGGTTTTATAGTGATTGACATCATTTGTGAATGATCCCAAATTAAATCAATTTGTCTATGATCTTTGAAAATTCATAATTTTTTAGATGCGTGAAAGGGCGAAACAAAACAAGCTATTTAGCTACATAAAAATTCCACAAGTCATTGTTCGCTTGAGCTATAAAGGAAGTAAAGAGAAAAACTTGGAAGACATCACGAATGTTTGCTTGACAGTTCCTAATCTTGAATACCATAATGTCACGTGGACGTGGCTAGATTTATGGTTGGCAATGAAAAATGACAGTCGAAAGGTCTTATTATCACAGGTATAATCATTGCCACATGATGTAATGTTTTTGCATATATTTTAATTCGTATTTCTAACATAGGTAATAAGTCAAAAGCTGAAGATGAAGTCACCGTTATCGTTGATCGAAGAGAAACCTCAAGATGATGATGAAAAAATTCGTATTATTTTTGGACATCGTCACAATCAAGATCCGAAGACGAGTACCAGCAAAACAAAACTTAATAAAAGTTAAACATTTTTTCAATAGTATTTCTATTTGTTCTCATCACATGTACCAAGCTATTCTATTCTATTTAACAAAAAAGGTTTACCAACATTAGCAAATGTCTAATTAAATTTAAAATAAAGGAACAAGAATATAATGTGCAATTTAAATTCCTTAATTATTCTTCTTGTTTTGGTAATTTTAGACTAGCTTGGACTTGACATATGCTGAAAGATTTGAGAGGCTGAATTCCATTCTACAATAATTGAACATTTGCTAATTGTTTTTGGGAATAAGATGAAGAAAAGTCATGGATGAGAATATGATGAGTAATGGATCAATTAACAATCAAATAACTTCAAGGCAATTTTTAAGCCGCTTTAGAAGTTTGATTTCATAACGGATTTGTGAAATTTTAATATTTGCATCATTTTAGGTTTTTTCGTGTCTTTAAAAAGTTTAAATTTTCAAAAATTTCAATTATTATATCGCAAACTTTCATCAGAAACACATGAAAACAAGAATAAGATAAGTTCCGGTAAGTGCTCAACATTTTTCACAAATTATTACTTTAATTAAACCTTTTGACAAACAATAATGAAGCAAAAAAAAGTGAGTAAAGTCCATTAAAATCATCAAAATAATCAAGTTGACTCAAAAGAAAACGTTGACAAAACGAACATTTCAACAAAGCAAAACCATGTTATATCACTCAAAAAACTCATTCAGCCACACGAATTTCACTGTTATAAATGAAAAGAATGTAAACTGAAGTAAAATCTTGTCAAATCTTTAATTTAATGTCCATTTAATATTCATAATTCAGAAACTCAAACAAAAAATTTTGCACAAAAACAGCTAATCAGTCGAATTATCTGTGAATATCATTAGTATGCCTCAAAAAGAAGCAGGTGAAAGTATTGCTGAAAAATTTCTCTATCTTTTATGAAAAGAAAAAAATATAAATATTAGTTCAATCAAATCGTTTTTTCAAAATTTTTTTAAATTTATTTCTGCAGAAAATTTTTCAGTCGCAAAATTACACAATAAGGTTTGGGAAAAGGATCTTATCTTATAAGAAAGTTTACTTATTTTTCCTTATTAAATGAAATGTCTTCTTTTTTTACATTATTAAATTAATATATTGTATTTACATCTAATTGCAGAGATTCACTAAAATGAATCGCACATGTAAAATTGTTATTTTCTTCTTTTTATTTATGCTTATTTCCTATAATCGTTAATTAATTAAATGAGTCGAATTTTAACTTATTTTATATTAATAGAAAGTATTTCTATATTTTTTTTGTTGCATGAATTTTTTGATTGATTGATTTTAATTTTAAACTAATAAAAATTATTAATGGTGGATTTTTTTGATATGGATATATGGTCTCGGAGATGAACACGAACTTAACGGAACTATCTTTTATTATTTTTGAATAAAATCACTAACATTCTAGAGTTTAAAAATACTAGTAGGAGATTTTGACACTTTTTTTTTACATAAATTAAGAAGCTTTTGAATGCAAACGAATGGGGACGGACTGTATATATTCAACTTAAGAGACCATAAAATCCACATCATTATTTAGGTATACCTCTAAAGTAAGAAAAAACTCATTTTGTTCGCATCTCATCGTCATTACATCATTATTACAAATGTTTTTTAATTTAAAAAAAATTATATTGTTTTTAATCGAATAGTGTGTAATATGAATTATAAAAACTAAAAAAAAAATCCAAAAAAGGCACCCAGTATGAAGATTGTAAAGAGATGATAATTTGTTTTGAATGGATGATGATTACGATTTACTTACTCTTTAAAAAAAAGTGCTTAGCCAATCGTATCATACTCGTAAAACATTTGTTTTCAAGACAATTTCATAAAAAATATTACACAATCTTCTCTCAATAGTTATATGGTCCATATTGAGAGCCGTGATAATATGGTCCTGGATAGATTTGTGCTTGTGGATATGGATAACCGTAAGGTGGTTGCTTTTGTGGATAAACTGGCATCAAGTATTGAAGATTTAACTGTTCTTCTTTTTCGCGCTCGCTTCGTAAACACACAGCTGAGCCAGACAGGAGAATTGCGGCAATTAACTCGCATGCAATTGCAGCCCATGCAACAATATATGACCAATCATATGAGATTCTTGTGTTATCACGGAGTATCTGTGAATAGATGAAGCAGGAAAATGTAATTTAATACGTAGATCAATTTAATGGAATTAAAAGCTATAGTGAAGAGAAAGTGAAGAGGATATGGCATAAAGCTATGCAAAAAGAAGAAGTAGAAAACAACAAAAGTTAAGTTGGAACTTACACTTGGCCATTGTTGGTAGAATTCCTCACCAACAACCTTTTCTTTCTCAAAGAATTCGACTGTATGCCACAATCCCATCGCACCACTAGCTAATAAGCATGCTGTAAGCATCAATATTGCTGTTGCCGTAATTGCACCCGCTGATCTTTTCCAACATCCTACGGAAGAGAAAATAATCAATAAATATTATTATTAAAATTTCACTTCGATCAATCAGCAATTTTTTAATTTTGGCAGTGCTGCACATTTTTAGTGAAACAAATAGTCATACCTGAGAGACCCGTAAAGAAAGCACAAACAACAGCCAAGAAGCTGAGAATGAATAAAGCAATAACACCGCGTGCTAAATGAAGTCTTGTTGATTCCTCAGTATCGCCAGCATTATCAATTGATGGGAAATAATCAATGTTCGAGCAGTGCGTCTCAATTGGTGAGAGATAAATTTCCACTGTAAAAAAGAAATAGAAAAAAGAGTTTTGTTGAATTAATGTCATATTTTGGTAGCTCTAGAAATACTGAAGCATGACTTGAATAACCTAAATTTTCCTATAAAGACATACATAACATATCATTTGATCTCATAAACATGGTGTTGTTGACATTTTGCCACAAATTTTATTTTTTAAAGATATCTTCATGTCATGTTGCGTTTAATTATGAAAGTTGAAAGTGAGCAAATGGAAATGCTTCACATCAAAAACCAAAAGAAGATATGTTTGGTTTAGTTCCAGTTTGAGAGTGATGGTATGCGCTTCCATATTAACGAAATTTGATACTCAATATAAAATGAAGCAGGCAAACGCATAGTGGAGATTGTATTTGATAGAAGAAACGTAAAATTAGACATAAAAGACTTGAATGCTCGCTTAGACTCGCTAATAAAGAAATGATGAAAAGAAGTCGATGGCTATTTTTGTGGCAAATTCGAAACAATAGTAAAAGAGTCAAGCTTTATAATAAAATCGAAAGTTTTCTTTCTTTCTTTTTTTTTTGTTCATGTCTTTCTTTATTTTAATTCATATTTCTCGCATTTCTCAGGCCATGAAACATAAAACCATGATTTTGATTTTGATAAATAGATTATTAGAAATTGATCAATTCCGGTACGGGAAATTGTATTGAAAATTATCTTAATTGATAGGTAATCTAGTGTGATGAGCATTAATGTATATGATGTCTATATAAACTTACCAGCTGAAGCAGGAGGTCTTTCTTTTGGATAACAATTCCTAAATAATCCACGCGTTCTCGTATAATAGTAGTATTTCGAGTTTACTTGCTCAACTAACTGTTGTGAGTCGCTGCTTCTTGCGGCAAAAGTCTACAACAAGAAATAAAGAAGAATGTTTTTTAAAAAAATGTATGCGCATAAGATGTTTATTAAATATATTCAGTGGAGCGGACACTTCATAAGTTGTGGCTTGAAAATACTTAATTAAAAATAATTACTTTCCTATCATAATTATGCTGTGGTTTAACGAAAGTTTAAGGAATTAAGACATATTTAGCGGTAATCGCAATTATGCTAGCATACAAAATAAACATACTCATGTTCCTAAATGATCATAGGGCATTTACTTGCTGCCTTGACATTCATTACAATCTAGCTTAATCTTTTCATACAATTATTCAGAATATTAGAGGAATTTGGACAATAAACATTACATTTTAATAAGTTTATCTTATTCTGTATTCTTCAAGATTGCCAAGCAGATAGTTCAATAAGAAATAAGCTCCAGCTGCTTGTCTGTCTTTGTCAAGCAGTTGCAGTCCAATTCTAAGTATTCTATCAACTTGACCATCATTTAGACAACATTTCAATGCGTACTGATCGGGTAGGGCACAAACTTTTCTGTATGACTTAATGCCAAGGCTCAATCTAATGAATTCCACGATTCTTCTTTGAAATTTTTTTTAATATAAAGGAAATCAGTGCATGTTCACAAATTGCACAAGGCATGTCGATCAGTCAGTAGCACTAGAAAAAAAATCCAGCCTGACCACTTATGAGAGCGGGAAAAAATAAAATTCTTTAACACATATTTTTCTGCATAGAAATAAACTCGACACATTTCAAGTCAGTCAGGGGTGTAGCAAGGGTAATTGTCAATCATTTTAATACTCAATTAAAATATTTTTGGCGCCAAATTCCACTTTGACACTCAAGGCTTTCTCCCCTTGCTACACCTCTGAAGCCTACCAGCCCGCCGAAAACTTGATTTGAATTAATGAAACAAAAATTATGTAATAAATGAAAGAAAAAAAATTCTTGCCAACAAACTTCATATTGCTCAATGGCACCCATGCTTCCCACTTTTTTTTTATTATTTCTTACTATTCACAAAACAACCTGACCTTCACTAATGTTTGTATTGTAAAACTTACTTTTTTTGCTGGTTTTATAATGCACAGCAATTTAACTTTACTGGCACACACTCTTCTCATTTTATAATCCGATTTAATATTCTCTTTATAAACATAAATTAGATCTACCTAATTGCCCAAAATTCTAGTTATGGTTAAAACATTGGTTTCAATTAACAAACGATTCCATTCATTTAATTGGAAATTGAATTGCCTTTATGGAAAGATTTACTGCAGTCTGTGGCAAACAATAATTTAAAGAATGTAAAAAAAATCAAATTTATAATTTCTTTGTACAAAGTTTTGCATTGAATATCATTAATTGTAAGATAATTTTTTTTTGGAATCTCTGCAAATTGTTTCAGCACTTACATGCTATTATTTGCGCAATTTTAAAGTAGGTTTACTTAACAAAGACATAGCAAGTATGTACAAGTTTAACATTGAGTCGCACGAATCACTTGTTATGAGATCAGACACATGAATCAGGTGTTTTATGGTAATAAACTGAAGACCAGGATGATAGAGATTAACGGAATGAATCATTTAGTCCAAAAAAAATTAATTGAGGTTCGACCCCCTACGTCTCACAGTGGAACAATAGGATATCATCAATATCAAACTGTAAACGAATGTTTAGATAGATTGTGTGGATTTAAAGCTTCGACAAGAGAAATCATTTATACTAAAATATTTCGATGTATTTTAAATGCCGACACAAGTCGCATAGAACATGAATTATGAAAATAGCTCACGGCACGCGAGTTTCATTAGATCATGCTATAAATTAGACAGGCATAAATGCATGCAATATTAGAATTATGATCCAATGTATATAATATATCACTCGCTGTATTAAGAGGATTATGTCAGAAGATATTTTGAGATGTGAGGCTAGGAAATATTGTTATGTCTGTGGTAATATGAAGCTTGGATTCCTGAGATCAGAGTTGAATGATCATAGTGGTGATCAAAGTGGTGAACTCTTCCTCGTTTTATTGATCGAGGGACTTAAGCGCATTTTTGTGTTAGCGATCAGTATTTGATTATCTATTTATTTTGCGTTCATTTACTGATCATTAGAAGATTAGAAGATCATTAATTTAAGTGCAATTAGCAAATAATTACAATGAATGCTTATATAGAAAGGCTTTATTATTTAACGGTCAAAAAATTATTTGAAATTTTCCGTTAAAAGTTGCACTACGAAAACATTAGTTGCAGTATAATTAAATAATTGTTTCAATGAATTTCCACATATTAAAAGTTTATCATTTAACGGTTTTTTCAGATTCAAATTTTCTAACGGTCAGTAAGTTTTTGAATGCTTCCCACCAAAAGATACACAAAAAATCATTAATTATAGTACATTTAACAATTTAATATCTTTAATTTTCATATATAAATTGTTTATCATTTAACGGTTTTCTGAAGTTCAAATTTTGGAACGGTCGTATGAATTTGTAAGTATCTTGCCAAAAGTTACAGTAAAAGCAATAATTATAGGATAAATAACAGTCTGTTGCAAACAAAATTTTCATATAAAAAGGCTTTGTAATTTAACGGTTTTTTGAGATTCAAAAATTTTCAACAGTAGAAACAAATTCGAATTTCTAAACGCTCTCATCACGTGTTTTTTCATATGAAATTTAAAAATCATTAATTATAGTACAAAAACACTGTTTCAAGACTTTTAAATGCGTTTCCTGAAAATAAAACAATGGACCTGAGCTAATAAAACAAACTAGAACTCTCTACGATGTCTAGTTAAAAAGTTTTTCTACAACCGAACGAACAGACAAAGTGAGATTTTAAGCTACTTTTTCGAAACAAGCTTCAAAAATGCGCTAAAAATTCAGACACCAACCCTGTAAGTCATCCAAAATTCTAAACAGATGACTTCATCTAACCTCCAAGATAACAATCTCTTACTCAAAATTCGCACAGACTCAAAGTTTGATCTTGAAATGTGTTGAGCAAGTAATCTCGCAGACTGCGAGTCTCAGTAAAATTAATTTTTTATGACTTTATATCAGTTTAAAATTATAAAAGCTACACACATCTTGCATTGCTTTAATTTGTTCACTTGATAAAATGATATTAGTTGAGATAAAAGAGAAAATCGTAAATAATTAATATCTAATAGTCATGTAAACATATCATTATTTTATAATCAACGTAATATATTTCCTGTATGTTGAGTTTTCAGATTTATGATGAGGTACTAGTACCAGTACAGTTCAGTCTTAAAAATATGCGGAACAACGATGTTACCGAATAACAGGACATTTCTTCTGATCACATAGTTTAGATACATCTATTTATAGGCATGCGTATATTAGCATAATCTCCGAAAAAGATCTGTGAGAAAAATCATGAATTCGTGAATCATAAAATTAAGTAGGCTAATAAACCCAACGATCATCAAAAGTATTCTGAGTCGATTAATCATAGCATAAAAATTAAATTATATCAAATATAATTGAGTAGCTTAGCAAGATTCCATTAAAATCGAACCTATTCAATCCAAAGCTCACCTTTAATATGAATATTTTTATCATTATCATCTCATCGCTCGTCGTGACAACTTTCAAGATTCACATCAAAGGTAAAGCTAAAGTCAATGTTAATATAATTAAATTGAAATTGTTTCGGTTATTTCCACTAAAATTAAAACGAACATAATTAACTTAATAAGACTTATTTTTAAGTTCTTCATACAATCACAGCAGAAATAGACATGATTGAAGAATTCTGCCTTTCATGTTTAAAAGAAGAACCTGTTTCTATGATGATGATGATGATGATGAAAATAATTATTTATCTCACGCAAAGAAGCACACAGACAACTACAATCTCTATATCGGTGCCTTAACACGTCTACACAGATGAGAAATATGTGTAATGCTGAATAAGAAATAAAAAATCTCTCTCTTGCTGCGATTATTTGATGATGTAAGAAGAAGAAAATGTATACATTGAGAGAACTGCTTTTACACTTCACAGACTGAATAGAATGAGGCGTTTTTGGTGCCGAAAAAAAATGTGTTTCTTGATAAACAAGAATGAAAGAAATTCTTGGCATATACAATTTTGGATGTTGAATTTTACTTGCAAATTCTTTTGGAGAGATTCAATGCTCGATTCCATTGAACTCGAGAGTGGACAGAGTAATTGTAGTAAATTGATTAAATGATTGCTTAATTTTATACTCGTATGTAGGTAGTCAGTCAATAGCAAACATAAATCGATTATTTCGTACTTTTCTGCAATTTAGTGGGCATGCTGAATAAATCAAGAATTTTATAAAAATTACTCACTTTTAACGGAGCTTAATAGATTACTTTGTATGACAGTGTAATTGTGGGCATTTTTTCGCACATAGTTACTTCCAAATTTGAACAACATACTTATTGAGATAAAAACACTCCATTTAAGTGATTTAGCCAAAACGTCAGGTCAATAACATGTATGATCGATGGGAATCACGACTTAGAAGCATAAATCCCTAATAGGTCAATAAATTTCACTAGAGAATTAGAGCAAGATCAACTGTTATAGATACGCAGATCAAATCTGATTTGATATGAACTATATTGAGTATTGCTATGCACTGGCTATCATCAGAAATTAATTAGAGTACTGGGGGTCCTCGATTTGAGTAGATTCTATTTGAGTAGATTCGATTTGAATAGAAATATTTTTACCCACCAAAATATTCGATTTGAGTAGATTTCTTCCTGTTTTCTTCGATTTGAATTGTTTACAAAACAAATATATTTGACAAAAACTTTTCAGAAAATATTTTTAAAACATAAATTTTAATGCAATAATCGTGAACTAATCATATTGAAAAAAAATAGAAAAATCAATACTAAAGTTACAAAATTAAAGTAAAAATTTATAAAATCGATGTAAAAATAACGGTTTTAAATAGTTCAAATTTCAAAACCTTAC